TTTCCCTACTTTTTGTTGCTTGACACAGGTGCCAGTGAGAGAACTCAGCAGCAGAAGAAAAACAGTGGCTTTGAAGATGAACTTTCTGAAGTCCTTGAAAATCAGCACAACAAGAACAAGCAGAGAGGTCAGTGTCAGCTTCCCCCCCAGGAAATCCAGGTCAGGCTGTAAACAAGGATGTTCTTTCTTGCAGCCTTGGTATGTCCATCTGCTTCTCATTTAGGCATCTTCTATGATGCTGCTGCAACACACACAAGAAACCCAGTGTTTGCTTTGTTCTTATTTACCTGAGTAAATAAGAACAAATTTCATGCAATTTCTGAGCTATAGTAACTGATGATAGTCAAGTTACCAAACTGATACTGATCTTTTCCACCCTGCTGTCAATGCCAGCACTCACTCCTAATGCTCTGATGAGCTCTAATGAGCTAGAGAAATCCCATACTGAAAGACTCTGTGATACAGGCAAGAGTGATCTGGATCTGCTCATGCTCACCTTGTTGCCAAGCATCCAAGGTATTAGGTTATGGATTTCTGAAGGGAAAAATCAAACTTGGGATGCACATAGTGTGCATGGATCTTGGAAAGTCCATATTTAGCTGGGATTTCTTCTTGTCAGTATGTCTGTATGGCCTGGCTAGAGACAGGCTGTATAGCAGAAAGGAGGGTTCAGCCCCTTCCCTTTTCCGCATCAGGAAGAGTCAATGCCAGTGTGGGGTGGGATGGTTTCTCATCCAGCAGCAGCACTTCTGCAGAGGGTCCTGAGCAGGCACTGGGGCATGTGGTTTAGCCACGGTCATGCAGCAATGCCATGATGGCAGCCCCAGCTGCCTGGAGCAATGAGGAGCAACACCTCTGGGGCCTGTTGCTGCAGCCAGCACAGCCAGAAGCCCATGGAGAGTCCAGGTGGCTCTGGCTCTCCCTCTTGCCAGGGCAGACCCAAACGTCTTGCTTCAGCAGTGTGGAGACTGCACGAGGATGAAGGCTGGTGTGTTGGGCCACCCGTGCCCTCAGGCAGCCCAGTGCACGGTGTCCCTGGGGGTCAGCAGCCCTGCATGACTGGCGCTCTGCATCCCCTCACCCCAGTGCTCTGCTCAGCCCTGCTTTGGGCTGTGCTCTCCTTTCCATACCCATCTGGCTTTTCCCACTGCTCTTTAGCTCCTTCCCTCCCCCCACCCCCCCTTTCTTTTGCAAAGTGATTTCTATGGCTAATTATGTTAAAAGTGGCTGGTTTCTGGCATGAGCAAGAACAAATACCCAGCCCACATTAAGCTCCCACGGAGTAGCTGCTTTGCAGAAGCAGAGCCAGCCCCAGCTCCCCCTGGCTTTCCTGCAAACAGCTCTGGCTTCCTCTTCAACCCGCTGGGAGAAATAAAGGTGTGATGTTAGCGCAGCACTCAGAGCAGGGAGAGCTGTGCAACTGCTGTATTACCCTCCTCAGTCCTTTGGTTTTATGTGCAATCTGGTTTCACGCGGGGCAAGTTTGTTGCTGGCATCTTGAGAGATGGTGATGAGGATGGTGCCACAGCAAAGCACTTCAGCATATGTTTAACTTCAGCCTTGCAAGTCTCTCCAGGAGGGCTGGCACAAGTGAGAGCACCAGCTTGCTTGAACACAAGCATGTGCTGAAGTGACTTGGGAAAGGATCCATGGGCTGGTTAAGCAGGTCGCTGAGCAGGTCTCAAGCTCCCTAAGAAAGGCTTGGGCTTTGCTGTTTGTGAAATGAGCTGTCAGGAGGTGTTACTTCTTGCTCCTCACTCTGCAGATGCAGCAGGGGAGCACCCTGAGGACGAACAGCCCACAGGGTCCCTGGATGAGTTGGCAGCACAGAAAACCCAGAAAAATGAAGATTCAAGAGAGGAGGGGAAAAACAGCCTGGAGGAGAGGGAGCCCAGGCCACGGGATGCCAACCCTGGAGACAAGGAGGATAAGGAGGAAGCAGAGAGCAACGAGATCAGAGGTGCAGAGGATGCCCAGCTAGATGAAGCTTTGGACAATCACATCAGCAAAGACTCCAGTGAGGAGGAGCAGCAGCAGCAAGAGGATGAAGAGGAGCAACCCAGAAGCCTCAGGGACAGGCTGGAACTCGACAATGAGGGAGAGCAGCCATCCAGGCAAGCCCAGGAGCAGAGCAAGGAGGCAGCAGGGGAGCATGTGGAGCGGGAGGATGATGGAGGAGATGATGTTGTAGAGGAGGACCCCACCGAAGCAGAGAGGTCACTTGATTTGCCTGAGGAAGATGAAGAGGCTGAGGAGATGCAAGAAGAGAGTACGTATCCCAGATGACTGTATTGATAGCTACCTGGGGTGAGCTGAGAGCACCAAGACAGACAGATAAGAGGCTTTAAAGCCTAAATGCTCAGGCAGGTGCTTACTGGGTTTACAGAAATACCCCTGCTGACAGCCACCCAGACCCCCCCGCAAGCACCCAATCATATGGGCCCCCACACAGTGTGTAACACAGGCCCAGCAGCTGCCTCACTGCCAGTGCTGCTCAGTTTTCGTAGCACCTGGGGACAACTCATTTCTTTTCTTTGAGCTTCCTATGTAGTTTTCAACTGCTGGCACCAAACCCTATTACTGATATGGTGATGTGAGAGTGGGTGTTTCCAGAATCCTGGAAAAATGAGCCTAAGTCAGGAAACCTACCTTGCATCACCCTCAAAGACTTAGTTCAAAGGTGGAGCATAACCAGGTGAAAACTTGTGCTCACTATTGTGTTTAATGCCCTTTCAGATAACGATGATGCTTTGGGATTTGCCAAAGATAGGCAGAGTTCTGAGGAGGAGGAGGAGGAAGAGGAAGAGCAGCCCCGGGCACTGAGAAGAGGAAGGCATCACCTGGAGGATGAGGGAATGCAGGGTGAGGAGGAGGACACCTTCCAGTCCAGGGATGCCAAAAGCGAGGAGACAGAGGAGGAGTCCTCCAGGGAGTGGGAAGACTCCAAGAGGTGGAACAAAATGGATGAGCTGGCCAAGCAGCTGACATCAAAGAAGCGCATGGAGGAAAATGATAGTGGGGAAGACCCAGACAGGTCCATGAAGATGGCATTCCGGTCCCGCAAGTATGACTTCAGTAGTCCAGAGGAAGATGTGAGAAGGTCATGGAAGCATCACTCAAAGGAGGACAGCAGTGAAGGAGGCTTTCCACTTGCTCCCATGCCTGAAGAAAAGAAGGATGAGGAAGGCAGCGCTAATAGGAGAACAGAGGTTGGTGCTTATAGGCTTGATAATAAAACCCACACAGTTATTACTTGGGAATCCAAACTATGCATGGAGTAGTGGATGGTACCTTGGTGTTACACAGCCAGCATCACTTCCCTATGACACTGAGAAAATGCTTGGTGACCTTTTGTCATTTAGTCCTAGTTGTTATTGAGACTTGCATCTGGCTGTGCCTTTTTTTTTTTTTCCCCCTTGCTTTGGAGACTAGTGCAAAAACATTCCCTGCTCCAGAGAGTCTTAAAAATGAGACAGAAGTTTGCACTGACCTGTGCTGGACGTGGTGACCAGAGCTCTATCTGGAGTCTGGGAGCAGATCTTGTGTCCCTAAGCCCCTTCAAGTAGAAGGGTAAGCTTTCCCTGGCTCAGGGATGAAGTGACTAGTGTTAGACCTCCTACAGAGGCAAACCAGGGCTGCAGCCATAGTGAGAGAGCTGGGACATCAGAGTGGAAATAATTGACAGATATGTGAATACATCTGAGCTGAGCCTCCAAAGCCAGAGACCTCCTTCCCTTCTACCTCTTATGGTGCTATGTGGTAGCTCAGCATTTGCCCTGGAAGCCAGAAGCAGTCGTTTTGCCTTTGTCATGAGGTCCACCTCCAAGCACAAGTGTTTATTTGGTATAGGGCAGGGGGCTGGACAGCAGGGCAGGGAATGGGCTTTGTGGGTATTTGCTCTGGGACAAGCCATGATCAGGTGTCCAGGAGCAGACTGGGGCAGCAGGTAAGTGGAACCAGTTTGCTGCAGCTCTTTTGCTTCCAAAACACCCCTCTTGCCCTAGTTACACACCAAAACATTGCCCAAAGGTTGCCCATTAGCATCCCCCACTGAGATGGTATCTCCAGTTATATTGGCTCAAAGCGAAGCCAAATGTCTCAGCTCTGAGCAGGATGCAGTCTGCCAAGGAGATGGACACCTGCCACATCTGCCTCCTCACGATCATCTGCTCACATCCCAGGTTTCTCCCCCTGGAAGGCTGCTCCTGGCTTCCCCCTGCCAGCCACTCTGCAGTGCATCTTGCCTGCAAGGTGGTGGGCTCATCCTCTGAACAGGGACTGGGAAGGAGGTTGCTGATGCTGCAAAACTGCTGTGTTTATGGTTGCAACAAGATTTTTTGGTGTTTTTGTTTGTTTGTTAAACTACATCAGGGTCTCTGGGAGACAGTGAGGAGGTGTCAGACAGGACACTGGGCAGTGAAAGAAGGGAAGACACAGGCTCTAGCTCTGCCAAAGAAGCTGTCACCCTGTCCCCTTGCTTGGCTTTCAGGCCATGTGGTTTGGCTGGTGCAGGCAGGGGCTCAGCCAGGGCTGAGAGTCCCGTTCCCTGCGCTCGCTGTGGCTCACCACGTGCCTGCAGGCAGAGCCTTCCCAGAGACTGAGCCAAGGGCCCTGCAGAGGGGCAGGCTTGCTTTTTCCTCTGTTCAGGAAAATAGCTCAGGGGTAAGAAAAATGTATTTTCTTTCTTTTTTACATACTTTACTTTTTTCCCACCAGCCACATGTAGTGCAGGCCAGTGCTTGGTGCCTTCTGCAGGCAGTGGCAGGGTTCTTCCCCCTCCCCACAGGAGGGGCTGTCCTTCAGCTCTACTGGCAGGAAAAGGCACTTTTAGCACCCACAGCCCTAAGTTTGCTCCCTCAGAGCCTGATGCTGAGCTGGGCGAGCCCATGACCTCCAGCACACCCCAGGTGAGGCAGCTGTGAGGCACAGGCAGGGCTGGGGCTGGCAGGGGAGGCAGGGCCAGTTGTTTGACCAGAGCTCAGTCAAAGCCACGAATGTAAGTGTCTGTGCTAGTTAAAATAGCTTCAGGTGATGTCATAGATGCAGTACAGAAAGTCAACCAAGTGGTGGGCAGCATGAGCCTTTAATCTGATGGCTTCCCCAGTTACTGTTTTCCGAAACAGAAAAGCCTGTTCTGGTACTGGAGCGCTGTGTGGGATGAGGGACACAGACACCCCCTCCACGAGGAGGGCAGATGCTGCGCTTGATGCGGGTAGCAGGCACCTGTTTCAATCTCAGTTTCACACCACGGCCTCAAGCAGGTGCCCAGTGCCATTTGGCAGTGCCTGCTGCAGCCCTGGCTCTCGGGCAGCCCCAGCCCTGCAGGAGCCACCCGCTGGGGGCTGCTGTGCCCAGAAGTGGGGCTGGTGAAGGATGGTGGCTGCCTGTCTCAGCCC